GGTTTTTTCACTCAAAAACAGAGTACTCTTCATCCATTCGAAACCTCTTTTGCCTCTCAATGAACGCTTCAATGGTGTGTCGGAACTCTTCGCTGCTCATGTTATCTTCAGGGTATGAATTCTTCACAGTTTTTTCATCAGAATCATTCAACTTCTGGTACTTTTCGGTTTCCGATCGCCGGAGTCGTTGACATGATTCGACACGCTTCATATTCTCCGATTGACATCTCCGATAGTCCTTGGTTTCCCTCCAAATAGTAATATTATTAGTGCTCTCCTCAGAATTGCTCTGTTTTTTTCTACACTCTGTTTCCTCTGTTTTCCTCTGTTTCTCTCTGTACTCTGTTTCGTACCTATGAATCGCAGCCTGACTCTTCTCGCTTCTCTCGAGAAACTCTTCGTAGAGATCATTTCCCGATCTCTTTCCTTTGGAATCCCCACCAGAGAAATGCCCGGACTTTGCAAACAGGGTGATGACGATCAAGTTCCCAACTACAAACACGAAGCGAGGACTCACGAGAGCAACAGTCAAGTCGCGGAAATACCCACCAGAATTCTTGACGGCCACAGGGAATTGAACGGTGAACCTGGAAATCAAGATCAGAACAACACAAACCTCAAGAAACCTCAGCAAGTTCGCTATCTTGCATCTTCTCCGATGCTTCAAGATCGCGTTTTTCTTCTCGAGTCTTATATCAAACGCATCCATTTGAAGAAAGGGTCAAAGAAATTCAGGGAATTGCTGAAGAAAGGAAGGGATTTGAAGAGGGTTCTTTGAGTTCTCACTCGAAAGAGAATTGGGTTTCTTTAGGAGACTGAGCCATAGCTGTTCCTCTTAGAAGAGAAGAGAAACAAGGTGCCAAGAGCATGCTATATAGGAGGGAAAATTTTCTGTTTGGGTTCATGGAAAATCAGGAAAGAAAATGAAGGAAAAAGAGTATGGTATATGGGTTCTGTTTGCTGTATGTGGGGCAATTTTCTCTTGGTTTTCCAGGAGAAAAGATTTTTTATGCTCTTGAAAACGCTGGGTGCATAGGGCTTGCTATTTATAGAGCCCGAAGTTTAGGTCTTTGGTTTGTTTTGTTTTTTTTTTTTGAGTTATATTCCATCTTCGTTTTTCCTTCTTTTTTCTATTTTTGGGTTTGTCTAGCTTATATCTAAGGAGCTTTAAATGTAATTTTAATGTATTAATTTACCTAAAAAAAATTAACATTAATTTTAACATCTTTAATATATAGATATTTTTAATTGAATAATTGATAAATTTAATGTCAATTTTTTAATTTTACTTTGAATATTAATAATAAAAAAATATAATAAATACACTTTTTGTACTCTAAAAATACAAAATAAAAAATCCCTTTAGTTTTTATATATTTTTTATTTATTTTGCCGTTCACTAAAGAAAAGGGCCGGGGGGAGACAAATTATATTCCTGACAGTTACTTTTCGAAAAAAACTTTCAAGTTGTGGGTTTTTTCCAGTGCATTATTTCATCTTTTTCTTACCCAATTGCTTTGCATACTACCATTCTTTGACTGATATTTTCCATCCAAATAGCCAATCAGATCAAGCCTTTAAATCGTAAATAGGAAGGCATATATGCATGAATGTGCTGCCAGCTCTGAGAACACTATTCTTCATTGAAGCACGAAAGACTATTGACTTGTACTAATAAGAATTTAATTGAAATATTTTAAAAAATTTTGTATTGAAAAAACATCGAATAGAACTGATTTTTAAGATAAAATCATAAATATCCCTTGTTAAGTATATTTTATACAATATTTATTTTAAAAATAAAATAAATTAATCATGGGAAAAGCAATCTAGAAGCCACTATGTTATTGTCAATGCATTTCGCAATCACAAAAGAGAGTTGGTGTGGAGGGTGCATTTGCACTAAAGAAAGAAACGCCAGTGAATTTTTAAAAGTTTCAAAAGCAAAAAAGACAAACAATTTAAGTTTATTACCGGTATTATAAGATGCTATTGTACACAAAGTGCTATATATGTGTCTAATTTATTTAGTTTTTTTAGCCTACAATGATTAAGGTGCTTTAAAATATTATTTTATAAATTAGAATTTTATATTATTAAACAATAAATATTATTTATTCTATCAATTATAAATTAATAATTATAATTATAAAATATTTTTAATAATTAAATTAAATATATTTATATTATTTTTGTGCCAGCATATCAATTATTAAAAAAATTTAAACTAAACTTTCAAATTCAATAATTTATTTCTAAACTTTTAAATGTTTTAGTTAAATTGATTAAAAATTCGATTTTCCCTAACAATTTAAAAAAAATTTAATTTCTTATAATTTTTCATATCGAAAAGAAATTATTAAAAAAAATTTAAAACTCAAAGGACGAGACAGATGACAAGCTAGTGATATGGGGTACGAGACCGTTAGCTAACCGTAAACACGTGGCAGTTCAGACAGAACATGTCACATCATTGCGATTCTACAAGACATTTCTTACTCTGTAAGAAAATGCCACGTATATTACAAAGAAAAGGAAAATGCTACGTAAAGGCTGCTTTGTTTTTGTAAAGTTTTCAACTTTAACTGGAGTTCAGTTATTCACCCACTCTGGTTACGTTGTCTTAAGCTAAGAGGGTAAGATCCACTAACTCAATAATGGAGTTTCCTTACTTAAGGTCCGTGATGCCACATGGAAGTTTGGTGAGTCATCTTGCAAATCCTTATTAAAGCATAAGTCCCACTTCTAAACCTTGTTACTTGATTTGAAACCATGATTAATGATGGTGACATTTAACGAAATTTCCCTTTCTCTATAAGTATTTCCATTATTCTTAACCCTACCTCTATCAACCCCCACGCTCAAAGCAATGTAACTGCCTTAGTGGGTGGTTACTTTCGGTGCTGAGTTTGAGTTTTAAAGGACAATATATACTTTCTTCCTTCCCTTAATGTAATGGGATAGGATATTTAGTCTTTTTTTTTCTCAAAAAAAAATTCATTTCTATTATTTTAAATCCCTTTCCATCTATTTTAATATTTATATTTTAAAATTCTAATTTGTAATATTAAACTTTTATTTATTAATACACTTTTGTTATGATCTTAGTCAGTTGATCATAACAAAATGACATTTGCACCCTTATTCTTCAGTTCCTCCTAATTTGGTGTGCATTCCTTTTTGTTGAAAGTTGTGACCTTAATTAGGGCAATAAAAAAGGATCTTACTTAAGAAGAAATATTGAAAGATTGATGTTTTAGAAAGAACGGAAGTGCTTAACAGAAAGTATCAGTTCTTTAAAATGATAAGCTAGATCTCCGGGCTCCATTTGATCCAATATATTAAAGATAATATTATCTAAATCAAGTAGCAAGTGGAGAAAGGAAATGCTGTGGACTCGGGTCCCTCTACCCAATTCACAACACAGGGTGCTATTCGAATCTTAATTATGTCAGAAGTACTTATTTCCATTTTAAATGCCAGTTTTCTTTCTAATAAAGTCCTTAAAAGTGAGTAAATAGATAAGGTCTAATTTTGCACCAGATTCAAATCTTGTTCATTCAAAAATTAATTAATTAACATGCATGATTTCAGCCTGTTTATCAACTTGTAAGTCAAGAATTGATTCTTAAATGAAGACATTGCAACAAATTAATATTAATTAATCTCATGTTTAATGTCTTGTGTCTTATGAATTTAGGTTAATTGGAATATGGAACATTCTATCAAAGACTTTTGGTGTTCATTTTTGGTGGGAGGTGATTCATTGACACAAGAGCCACATTTCTGTTCTAATTCTTTTTTATTATATATATAAGAAAAAAGTTTCAAAATCGTTCCTAACTAATTTTCTTGAGTATTATATATGCCTTTGGTTTTGCCAATTGCATGCCTTCCGAATCCAAGAACACATGTTGGATTCTAAAGATAATTGAGGTGGATTGCACTAATTTGATTCTCTTTGCTTAGGAACATCAAAAAGCAAAACAAATTAAAATCCATCTATTCTCTTGTTTTCCTTTATGGGAGGAGAGATTTTTTTCCTTTCTTTTCTATTTTTTTTCCTTTTCGTTTATTTTATTTTATGGGAAAGGATATTTTATCTACACTTATTTTATAAAATAGAACTCGTGAAAATAAAATAAATTGATCAAATCAATTTAGTTTAACACTTTGCAGAAAAGAAAATGTATAAATAATTAATGAAAAACAAACGATGCGCTGCACACAGATATTTTGTAAAATAGAAAAATAGATTGCACAAAAATCCGACCTGCCGGATTCGAACCAGCGACCTAAGGATTAGCTGTTAGTCTACGCCAACTACAGTCCTCCGCTCTACCAACTGAGCTAAGGTCGGTTTTGTTGTTAGTTTTCTCAATAAACTTTATTTATCACGGTTGAATTGTTTTTTACTTCCATTCTCTCGGGTAATTTTGACCTCTTTCAAAAGATATTATATATTTAGGTAAGGCTAAGGCCTCTTTGAGCACACGTTAGATATTACATTGAGAAGTTCAGTTTTGTAAATTTATTTCAAGTTCCACTTTGAAGAATCTTAAGATTTTTTGCAGCTGCTAATATTCCTAATTTCCTATCCAATAGTTACAAATTGATTGATGGATTCCTCTAAGTTAAAATTTCAGATGTCTTACGCTAGATTCTTTTAGCCCTCTACTAATTTAGGTGTATGCTAGGAACAAAGCTTATAAGCAACATGACTTTTGAACATTAGAAATCAATTATTAATTAATACTTGGCCTCAGTTATTTACAATATATTTGAGTTAAGAGTAATGAAAGCAAAGGAAAAATTTTTTTTATTAAGTTATCAAAAAAATTAAAGCAATCATATTCTTCATGAATGGAAAACTAACTACAATGATCCATTATTCCCTCCTCCACAGATTGATAGCTTGTGCATTAAAAAAAAAAAAAAAACCCTGCTGATGTTCAAGAAAATGCACGTATGTCTTCAGGTACATTGAATTCATTGATTCGAATATCAATCCTATTAGCCAACCACGTTCCAGTCCAGGGTAACTGTATTTACTGGTATGGCACCAGCTCTTGGGATCAAGCCCAGGAAGTAATTAGCATCCCAACCCGTCTCCCCCTTGTAACTGTAATTGCTCAAAAAAATATATATATATATCTTATTGGTCAACAAAGCCTGCATATCAGGGATCCAATAAAAAAAAAAAAAAGGCAGTAAAATTAAGATAACCCAATCTTGAATATTTAACGGTTGGCCTCCTCAAGCTCGGAGGAAGCAAAATGCATGTGATTACTGTTTTTCCAAGCGCAAGATCGATCTCCCAACCCTCACCAACGGTTGTACATGGTATTTCTTTAATAAAGTATATTTTTTTATTAGATTTAATTGTTCTAATTTGACTTTTACATAAAATTTAGTTAGATAAATTTATATAGTAAATAAATTATAATTAAATTTTTTATTTAAAAGAAATTCGCAACAAGTATTTCATATATAAAAAATTTTCAATTATCATTAATTTATTATATAAAATCATCTAATTAATGTTTATGTAAAAGTCAAATTAAGATAATAAAATTTAATTAGAGGAATCTGGAGTATTAATTAAGTCATAATGGATTATATATGATCTTCTTCCTAACCTAGTTCTGATAAATTAATCAATCCTATTGGCCCACGTTTTTTTATTTAATCTTAGTTTTAGCGTATATCATTTGTCTGTTTGTCCTGGCTTGACGGAATTCATGCAATTCCTCTCCTATAAATAGCCCTAATTAATGTTCTCCTTCTTTGGCAAGACAGAGCAAGGCAAGATAAACTAAGAACAATGGCGAAATCTGTTCGTTTCCTCGCAATATTCTTCTTCGCCCTTATCCTCCTAGCCAGTATCGGTAAGTGATATATTATGCTATCTCTCTATATATGCATAATTTCTTGTTATAATTAAGGACTATTAATTATAATGTAGAATTGCCTTTCAAAAAAAAAAAAATAATAATGTAGAATTGTAACAAATCAATTATATATATATTTGGAATGGATGTACAGAAGTGCAAGGTGCGGAAGCTACACTGTGCCAGAGGCGGAGCCCGACATGGTCAGGGGTCTGCGTGAACTCGAACAACTGTGACAGGCAATGCAGGAACTGGGAGAAAGCATTTCACGGTGCTTGCCACTGGCAGAACTTTGGATTTGCATGCTTTTGCTACTTCAAAATTCAAATGTTAGCGTCCATCAATAGACTCAATACCAGCGTCATGTGTCGAAGAACTGATTCATATGTCTCTGTCTAGTGTTGCCCTAATTAAATAATAAGATTAAGGAATGCATGGTTTTCTGTTGAAAACATGCGTTCATATACGTGTCCCCCCCTTGTTGTTGATTAAATAATATGTTGGTGTTAACTTTGTACTTGTCTTAATTTGCTGATAAATGTTCTGTACTGAGTAGTACGTATGGTATGTAAGTACCACTTGTGATTTTCTGTAATAAAGATTTGGCCATGATTAGCTGGAAAGTGCAAGTTTAATTATTATCTTGTATCCAAATCGGAAAGGGAATACACTAAAAAAAACTTAACAAATATATTCATGTCTGTACGTATGTATATTTGGCATTCAAACGAATCAAACCTATGTTTAAGGAACAAGTTCATGTGATTTCCTCGTATACCAATGCTTAATTTATGCCATCATGATATTGCTTCATCTTCATCTCCTCATCACTTTCAAGCTCTGACCTTTGAATGCTAGCTGGAAAGATAAGTCAGTCCTCCTAGCTAATTAATGTATTCCTTGCTTATTTTCCATACCAATTCGGCCCCTTCAATACATCTCTAACGAACTGGTTTTCTCTGGATCTTTCCCCATTTTGTCTTATTTGGTTGTTAAACATGGACAATTTGAGGGAAGGGGGTAGGTACAATACAAGGACAATTCCATGATTTGAGGGAAAAAAGAGTAATTTTATGGACTTTTTTGTTGAGTGTTTAGAGTAGTGGTTTAAATATGGTAAATAATTAATATCAAATATCTAATTATTAATATTTATTATTATTTATAATTTAAATATTTTTATGTGTTTAATTAATAAAAAATGCCAATTAGTGAAGAGACAAACGAATAAACAAAAATCTCAAAAATTAAGGATGTCAAATTATGAAATCACTAAATAATTAAGTACTTAAGAATTAATTATTCATGCAAGTGCTTAGAACTTCAATAGAAGTTGCACCAATTAATCTTGTTCTTATTCTTAGCATGATTAATTTGACCATATCTAAGTATCAAGCAAACTTGGTATGGTTATAAATACCCTCTAATCCCACATCTTATTCATCCAAGTCCAAACCACTAGACGAGTTTAACTACAAAAACATGGCATCTATTACTTCTATAAGACTCTTAAATCCATTTATTTTGTTGCATTCTTCTTCATACTCATCCTTCTCTCGAGAGTACAGGTGCAAACGTATCTTAATTTGCGTTAATGTAACATTTGATCAACTATGTATCTTTTGCATGCACCTACTGATGATCAAATACTTATATATATGCAGAGCTGAGGATGGTAGAAGCAAAATGTGAAAGGAGGAGCAAAACTTGGTCTGGTCTCTGTGGCTTCTCTAGCCACTGTGCAAATCAATGCGGGAAATGGGAGGGTGCCAAGCGTGGAGAATGTAAGATCGACAGGTTTATTGGACGGGCTTGTTCCTGCAAATTTTGTTGATCAATAGAAGAAAAACAGCTATATATATCACCATGCCCGTAATTAGTAATTAAGTATTGATTCGTCAAATGATTATCAGTACCAAGCAATCCTGCTAAAATAAGATGATCGTACGCTCTCATCAGTGTGTTCATTGTGTGTGGTATGTTACTTTGTAATAAAGTATCAGTTGGAGTTATACTAGCTGATACTGGCCAAAAAATGAAAGGGTGCACTGAAGTATCCTCCTGTGTAATCTTTGATATTGTATTGTGAGTATAATGTCCAGTTTATGTTGAACTTGTTTTTGCTTAATAAGATTTAGACTTTCTCTGATTCCCATTTCAATTTACTTTTGCATCAGGATATCTACTTACACGTATCAAGACCCAAAAAATTATAACTTAGTTGGCAAATAAATTTACTTTTTTTCTTATTAATTAAAGTTTCATCTCTGAAAAAAATAATTTCTTATAAATCCTTTAATTTCAATATAAACACTTATTTCTGATCAATTTGATGAGAGATTAGTTTTGAGATGTTAGCAAGCTAAAATGGAAACTTGAAAAAAGTTACAGTGCAGCAATCCTAACCCTTAGCTCAATCATACTGCAATGAGTTCAGCTGCATTGAGCCTAAGCAAACAATTTTCTCTTGCTCCCATGTACAGAAGTTCGTTATTTCCAGCCAGATATTTCTCAATTGCTTTAGCAGTGCTGGCTAACGGCCCCGGCCCAACTGGGGCCAGTCTTGGGCTACCATTTTTGGATCTGAGCCCAGGACAGGAGTAGGATCGGCCCAGAACCAGCTGATCCAGGTGTTAGTCCAAACAATTTAAAACGATATCGTATTAGTTTAGGGTTATTTGAGACACTAGGGTTTATTTATAAGCCCTTGCATCTCCCACCAATCGTCTTGTAGTTCCGCCGGCTCTCTCCTCTACCCCATTTGTGTATCTGCTCAGATCGAATGGTAAACCATCCAACCCTAGCGAATGCTGCTGATTTTCTACTCTTTGCTATCTAGATTGAGGAAATTTGGCTTCGGATTTGGAAAAGATTGATATTTTTTTCTTTCCGTTTTGCAGGCTCCGAAGAAGGATAAAGCCCCTCCTCCGTCCTCCAAGCCGGCGAAATCTGGAGGTGGAAAGCAGAAGAAAAAGGTAACTTTCTACCTTCAAAACTTGCAAATTCCCAGATAAAATACTAATTTGAGATATTTATGCACGTGGGTTGGATTTCCTTTGTATTTGAAATGATTGTGATTTTTTGCATTGATTTATTGTGTGTTATGCTTTAAAAATTCTTAAGTTTTTGAGTTTAATTGGTAAGATGTATTGGGTTTTTTGTGTTTTGGTGGTAACAGAAGTGGAGCAAGGGAAAGCAGAAGGAGAAGGTGAACAACATGGTGCTGTTTGACCAGGCAACCTATGACAAGCTCCTCTCTGAGGCACCAAAATACAAGCTCATTACCCCATCTGTTCTCTCTGATCGCTTGAGGGTATTTCATTTTGTCTCTCTCTTTTTTCCTTTTTTATTCTTTAATTATAGTTGCATAGATATTCTGATTTTGGATAGTATTTTATTTTCTCAGAATTGTATACTGCTCTTAGAAACTACATAGTATAGTTGAAAGTTTGTTGCTTTGATACAATAGTTTGGCATTTGGCTGGTGGTTGTTTAAGTAGTTATATACAAATTGGTATGAAATAGTTTGAGTTATTGACTTATTGTCTGTTAAAAATTATTATGAAATTTGAAAAGAAGAATATTTTGCTGGCCCATTTTTATTGTTTTTTGAAAAAAAATTGTTGCATGTTCAATTATTAACTTTGCTGGTAGAATCATATGGGTAGCCTGAAGGAATTTACCCCTGCATGATAGGGTTCTGTTGCTGTAGCTGTAGGTCATCTCATGTAAAAGGCTAGTCCATTTTACTGTAAGGAGTCTTAACAGAGAAGACTTATGACAATTTAATGACTTCAAATGGCATGCGAGGACATGTGAAGCATTAAATGGGGGTTTAAGGTTCCTTTGGTGTTAATTGTGAACATTTGATGTTTGATTACCATGTTAGGTGCTGTATGAAGTCTATATTATGCCAGACTTTTCTGTTATTTTGGGTTGTAGTTGCATCCTGTCACCATTGTATGGTTTAGATTTATTTTGTGAGAACCATGATCTATGTTTCTGTCTCACTCTGTATCGTATGTATCTTACAGATTAGTGGATCTCTTGCAAGGAAGGCTATAAGAGAACTCATGGCAAGAGGGCTGATCAGGTTGGTGTCAGCCCATGCAAGCCAGCAGATCTACACCAGGGCCACTAATACCTAGATCTTCAATCAACTAGTTTTATGTAGTCTTGCTGAGTGTGACTTGATTTTTTGCAACTACTGTTCTAGACATCCTGGCCAGGCCTTAGCTGTCATATTTCATTTCATGTTTTATGGAATCTATCAGACTTCTTGAACATTCCTTGTTGAATTTTAGCTTATTTATAGTTTTCTGTTCATCAGATTGAATAGTGTTTATATTGGATTTCATCTTAACTTCTACATGGCACATGCCATACATTTTCCTTTCTTTTTTTTTTTCCCTTTTTTTTTATTTTTTATTTTTTATTTTATTAATATGGCTTTATTATCTGTGCCGAAGAATGTGGGATGAGCTTGGAAATTTGTGGTTTTCCTGCATCCTGCGCAGGCTGGCTAGAAATTGAATGGTTCCTTCTATAATGGGCCTAAGCATTCTACTTAATTTATGGTTGCTGACTGAAAGTAGAAGTTGCTAGGGTAAAAGCTAAGAGAACCATGGTTTGGTATCACATGGTGTCAACCAACTAGTAGTTTTTTTGGTACCTACTCCTAGTATCTAGAAACGCATTAAGTCTTGATTAATTTAGAATTGAATTGCAATGCTTATCTTTTTATTTATAATACTTAAATTTGAAATTTTGTGTAAAGAAAACTGAGCTGTCATTGGTGTCAATCAACCAATATTGACGAATTGTCATTCACCAACCATAAAACTTTGATTTGGTTTCAAGGCCATGAATACAATTCCAAATTTTACAATACTGGACAACTAACTCTCAAATTCAATGTACCAACAAGTGAAGGTCAGTTTCTGTATGGTCATGTTGAAGTTTCTTCTCTCTCGAGCTCTCACTTCATGACTAGATCTTTGAAATAAGCCCATGGAACATGCTCTTGTTTCTCATAGGCAACTTGTAACTTGCGTTCGTGGTTCAGAGATAATAGCATCCAAATCTTCGAAGCCATTCATTTGTAATTGTATGCCATGTGAAAGTTTTTGTCATGTTAGTCTTGTTTGAGTTTTATTGGGCTTTGGACGGTTCCCCTTATCAGCTCCCCAAAAGAGGGCCCAATCTGTCTCATCTTCTACGGATCCATACCCATCTCCACTTATCAATCAACCTCTTCTGTGGGCCCATTCATCAGTCGGACCCTTGCACCCGCTCTGCAATGCAGACATCCAGAAACTGACGGCTGAGAGGAATTCTTGGATCTTGCACTGTTCCCGCCATTTGTCAGTGGACACGTGTACGGTGCAGACAACCTCATTCTGACCCCCACTGTGGTAACTAAGCCCCCAACTTGGAATCCTCAACTTGCAGCAAAGGAACAAATGGCCTCGGTGCATTATTTAATTTAATAATATGGTTAGGTTGAAAGGAATATAAAAGAAAAAGGGGGATGAAAATTTTTTTTTTATTTAATTATAAAAGAATTAGAAAGAAAGAGAGGAAAAAAATATTTTTATTTTGTTTGTTTAATTTAATTATTTATTTAAGAAAATGGAAGGGAGTGGAGGAGAATGGGGAAAAATAGAAGAATATAATTTTCTTTCTTTTTATTTCTCTCTAGCTAAAAATATGGTAAGTGTGAAAAATCTCATTCACTACTAATCAAAGGGGAAATTGAAGGCTACAAAAAATAAAGAAAATTTTATGGGTTTTTTTAATTTATACTTTTCAAAATATTTTTTATCATAAATATATTCAAAGATATATAAAAATTGATATTAATTTTAGTACTAGTGGTGTTAAACAGATATATTTAATTAGATAGTTATTAAATTAAATGTCAATTTTTACTTTTTTAACAAAAATTTATAATAAAAATATATTTATTATATTTCTAACTTATATTCTTAAAACATAAATTAAAAGAATTCAAAATTTATTTATTTATTAGTTAAATAATTTTTAGTTAAATATGTACCGAGTAATATTACAATCTACAATATTAATTTATAAGTATCTTGAGATTAATATCTCTTTAAACATCAA